GCAGCCTTGGGAAAGATTGGGAAAAATAAACTCATCTTTTATTTCACTAGCTTGATTGCACACTATAATCTGTTATTAGAGTACTTCTATTCAGTGGGGAAGGAGATCTAATGTCGAGGAGTAATTAACGAAAATCACCAGCAGCAGAATTACATGTGCTTGTCAACAACCTTTTCAGAGTGAATATATCAGAAGGATCCATTTAATGTATTCTGTTTTTCTTGAACTTCTTGGAAGTTTTAAACTCATAAATAATCTGTGGCTTCCCGTTCAACTGGGATATAAATACACCGTGACACAGAGGCCCATTTCTTTTGGCCACTGCCCACCAGGCTACACGAGGAGTCATATTTATCTTGGCGTCTCACACAGTGAGCAGCGTGCAAAGGGAGGTGAAAGTCATGCTTCTGGAGAACTTGGCAAATGATAGCTTCTTTGGTCACCAAGTCACCTTTACAACCACCAGATACTTTGCTTTATAAAGTATGAAAACAGCTACTTCTCTCCTACCATCACAAAAGTAAACATGTGGAGCTTGATTACTGGCAGTGCACTTTTATCAGATGAGGTTAATCTTAGCTTTTCAGCAACTGGCACTGAGGCTGGTTTGACTTTAACAGTGGATGCTGAGTGTTGGGCATGGTGGAGGGCCTGTAATGCTGTGGCTCCAGCACTCTGAGCTCATTGTTATGTTGCAGGACATCTTGAACTCTGAAATACCAGGTGATTTTCAACAAAGACAGAAAACATGAAAACTGATCCAAAACCTACAACGTAGAAATTAGTGGTGCACCGATTTATCAGCCAGATGATTTACTTAATTTTGGGAGACTGGTGATCGGCCAATACTTATACCTGAAGCCGATCTCACTCCCTGATCTTTTCTCCAGCAACAAAGGTCTAAAAATGAACCACTGTCCTGTTTTGCTTCCTCCTTTTGAGAGAGGTTTGACTGATGGACCGGCCCACCAGTTAACTTTAGTCACCCCACTGTTGCCAACTCGGCATCTTTCTTGCTATATTTAGCAACATTTTAGACAAAAAATAAAATTGGTGTCAGCAAAAATTGGGATCAGCAGGTCAGGCTTTTTATAGATTGATAATCAGCGATTGAGCAGAAAACTGCAATCTGTGCACCTCTAATAGAAATGTTTCACCAGACAAAGACAATGTAGCCACTTCTGATTTGGCTCAAAGCAAAACATACATTAAAGGTCGACTTTTCTTCCGGTTTTAGGTCATGCAATGTGAAAGGCTTTTAACTCATATTTATAGTCGCTGGAGTGCAAATGTGTCTCACTCTATTTTTTTTCTTCTTTTTTTTTTCCAGAAACTATCTTCATCTAGAAGAAACCAAAACCTTGAGCAGACCCCTGATGTGTGTCGCTTGGCTAATTTCAACTTTCAACATTTCTCTCCAAAAAGAAACCCAAGACCCTCTTTTTTCCCTGTAGGCTGAAGAATTATCTCTGGATTTTTTAAGGGATCAAAATTTGAGAGGCAAAACTGGCTACATTTACATTTCTAGTGCAACATCGTCTGTCTCTGCCAGACGTCCTTCATGTACTTTTTTTGTTGTTGTTGCTGTTTTTCAAACAGGGAGCTAAACATAAAGTGCATCAGGTGTTGTAAATGCACTGCAATATGAGTTAGCCCTAAACTTTGACACTTAAATCATGTTGCCTCTGTTCCCCTTTTCTTTGTTCATGTGAATTAAAGCTGGAGCACATGTGACCTCAGCTTATGTGGAAGTGAAGCAAGAGTTGCAACACTGTGGAGATGCGCAGCACTTAACACCGGTTTTAGAACAACATAAGGAACGTTTAGCATATTTTTGAGCTGTTTTTTACAAAACTAAGGAAATCACATTGACTCACTTCCAGCCTCTTGGTGTTTGTTGCCCTCTCCAGACGTGTCATTTGGCTTCAGTGTCTTTGCAAACTTCTTTTAACTTCCTTACTGTGGGACGAAGAGCTCTGCACCTCAGCAGGGTCTATATGTATAATACAGGAGCTGCCCTTCACAGGAAACCACAACCACCTATACTTACTAACACTTTGTGCTTTTGAGATCCCACCTCGCACGCTGTAGGTTTGTGTCGAAAAGGCCACCATTGTTGAACATGTTTGCAATGATGGATTGATTCACAGTGTGTTCTTTGAGCGCTCTGTTTCTGATTTTAAGTGACGGAGTTTCGCTTTATAAATCCTTGCAGCCGAACTGTAATCGTCCCATCACTGGGGGCTGAACTTCTGAGAAACAAAAGGGAAAATTTTTTTGAAAGACACCAGAGAAATTAACTAGAATCTCATCAGTGCTAGTTGAGAGCTCCGCTGTGCTGCTGCTACCGCTGATGGAAAAGGCATTTTACTCCTTCAGGAAATCTTCAGCTGCCTTCCACATGAGCGGGATCTGAATGTAGTTTCTGAATAATAAATCTCCTCTGCAATCATCTTCCCTCGTTATGTATGTGGAGTAATAGAAACACAGAATCACATTTTGGTATTTAAGGTTTTTACCGCTGCAGCCTAATAAGATGATTGGAAAACAAAAGCTGCATTTTCATCCCTGAGTAACATGAGGTTTGAGTGTGTCATTTAAAAACTATCACACCCTAGTGTTGAGAATTACTCATGCGTTGTAACTAAATCAGTGCACTAATATGTGAAGACCATATTAAGACAAAGTTTTTGCTTCTTTGGGTCATATTTTGAACCTCGATGTTGGTAAAAGTGACTCAAAAGTAAACAAATAACTCTCACATGGGCAAAAAACGGGCAGCTTCTGTTTTACTTCACAGACAGAGAACATCTGAACATGTGGGAGGGGAAAGTTTATTCTGAAATGTCAGCATCACAGGAACAAGCCGCTAGTCACAGGGGCAAGAAGGTACTGGGCACGACATGTGCTCAAACCTGCTCTGTGGCTGCACACATTTTAAACTGGAAAGTGGTGGTGAGGTTCAGTTCAACCTTAAACCTTTTCACTTTTTGTCATCTCACAACCACAAAGTTCAATGTAGTTTATTGGGACTTTAGGTCTGTGTTCCCAATCAGTGAACACCCTGAAAATGACTTGATTATTTTTGACTTTTTCACTGTTGCAAGTTTTACATGCTGCCAAACTCATATTGTTTTATCGTTGAGTGAATTGGTTTTATAAAAAAAACTAATATTTCCGCTACATCGTTAAAATAATAATATTGTACACACAGGACCGGTTTCGGACGTTTTAAATCGATATGAACCAGCGCGCTGTTTTAAACATCCCAAACCCATAGGGGGCAGTATAGCGCAAACCTACAATCTATGTCAGCCAATCAGATTGCGTCAAAACGACGACGTCCTGCTCGGAATTAAACATGGTGGCAGGAGATTCATTTGGACAGATTCAACTATTTTTAAATATGTAATATATATTATATAAAGACAGTAAAACACAAGAGGAGGTCGATTGGGATTCATGGCAAAGCAAGTATATGTGGCTATATCGGCGCATCATGAGTAGCAGACTGAAAATAGCGTTCACACGCACACATAAGAAGTTTTCTCATCTCTGGTGGGGTTTTTTCTTTGTAAATAATCGTTTTTACCGACTATTTATAAAGAACCATTCCAGTTTTCTGGCTAATTGCCGATTATTGGTCATTACATGCCGATTCTGATTTTGGCCAATACCAGCTACTTCTGGCTGAAATGTTGCTAACTATAGCAAGTGAGTTGGCAACAGGGGATGATTATTAACTGTTTACGTCCATTCATGAGCTGGTGAACCGGTCTGTCAGTCAAACCTCTAAAGGCAGAGCAGAAGAGGACTGTGGTGGTTATTCAAAGTTTTGCTAAGGTAGATAAGATTATTGGATAAAATCGGCTTCGCATGTAAGTATCGGTCGATCAAAATTAAGGATATCAGCGCAGACAAATCGGTTTTTAGAGATTTGAGTTAATTAAATGTATTGTATAATGTATAAAATGTATTCTCCCAGATATCAAGCTAACTGAACATACCTCAAACTTCAGAAACTCAAACATAACCTGAATGTAGAACTATGATTTGCTACCATTTTCATTTATAGACTGATTTTTTTTTAACCTATTCTTCTCTACAAAAATAGCGAAAGCTCGGTTAGACTGTACAGAGAAAATCTGTGAACATCAATTTTCAAGTTTTACCATAAATTCATTTTAGGCCTGAGCTTTGACTAGGTCATCATCCTAACACATTTATATGGTTTATCTTTTACCTCCCCATTGTGTGTATTAAATATTTGTCATGCTGGAAAGTGAACCTCAGCATAGCATCTCTGCTTTTCTGCCACTATTGATCTGTATTAGGGTGATGTATTTTCTGACACAAATAGCATTTTGCATGCAGGCCAAAAAGTTCAAATCTGATCTCGTTTTCTCAGAGCAAAGTCCTGCACATGTTCTGTCCCTTACATGTCCAGTGGAATCATCGTGGCTTTTCTCCTCACGCCGTTCCATAAAGGCAACATTTGTAAAGTTCATGACTAAGACATATCGTGTCAGCAGATTTTCACACCTCTGCTGTGAATCTCTGCAGCTCCTTTGGAGTTACCTTGAACTTCTAGGCTGTTTCTGCAATTACTTCTCTACTTATCCAGTCTGTAAGTTTAGGGTTCGGCTTTGCAGCTGTGATGTAATTTTGCCATCTTATAATCTAAGAGGTTAAATCCAAATGGTACCCACACTTTCCAAATTTTTATTGGAAAAACTATCAAATAAAATCCAGAATTTCTGTCCTTATTCACAATTACGACCTGGTTCATGTTGATCATGTCTATTATCCAAGAAAATATCCTGAGATTTCCGATTTTTTTAACAAAGGTCCAATAGTGTGAATGTTTGAGAGCCATTGTGTGTGTGTGTGTGTGTGTGTGTATATATATGTGTGTGTGTGTGTATATATATATATATATACTTTTTTTTTTTCTTAATGGAGATCATTTTCCAGGTGTTAATTTTCCAGGAGTGATATAAATGTATATTTTTTTATTTAGTTAATTTTATACATTTATCCATTTGCTGGGTTTCACGTGTATGTCTTGATTGCAGAAAATGCCTTAATGTGACCTGAACATGATTCATGGGGGAGTGGCTGACATTTTTCAAGAGGGGGTGCTACTGGTTACATGCTTAAAATGCAAAATTATCAGCCACTTTGATATTGAAATCCAAATAATTAATGATTTATTCAGAGGAATCTAGTGATACACAGTGCAGTGCATGTTTTCCGCTCTTGCCAATACAAAAAGCGAGTATTAACTTGTCTCTGCTTGCGGAAACAAGTTAAATGACTTTAACTGATTTTATTCCCTGAAGCTGAACTTTGGACTTTTATTGATGTCCTGACACAGTTGGTGAACAATTAGCTATTGAGGTATTCACCAACGCACTTTGTTCTAGCCAAACATTGTTAATTTTTTTTTTTCTTTCTGATCAGAATCAAATCCAGAAGCTTTAATTTCCAGGAAAAGACTCGGATGCTGCAGTTTTCCTGTAACCAGCTGCAGATTGCTGAGAGCACAATTTACTTCAAGGTGCAACACGTTTTAACCAGACCAAACTCAGAGAAACACACACACATACAGTTGCCACTGTACTCTCACTAACCTCATTATAGTTATTCGCATCAGTTCAGTGAATGTGGGTTAGCCTGTCTGCTGATTTCCTCCCTCCAGATTCATCTGAGTGCAAGGAAATGCCTCGGGTTTGAGCTCAGATGACCCGCCCTCATGAGCAGCACACACACGCTGCCTGCTGCAAACTCCGCTCCGCTCTGTAATTCACTCTGGAGAAGCGATGAAGGACATACTGGTGCTGCTGCTTCTGGTGACTCTCCGAACTATCAAGGTAATCGCCGTCAAGCTTTATAACGAGGGGATAAATGCAGGCTGTGCCGCCACAAGTTACTGAGCAAAAAAAGTCGTGTCTTTGTCATTGGAAGTAATTGCAGCGTCAAAATAAAAGCTCAGATTTCTGTGTTACACGTGTTTCTATAATCTAACCTAATCAATTGTCATAAAGATTTTATGTTTTTCTTATTCTAAGTGTGACAAATTATTGTGGGATATATGTATAAGGAGTAACTCTAGTGAGTATTTAGTTTCAGTTACTTGGATTGATGCTGTTTCAGACATCTAAAATGAATCTGTTACTTTGTTTTAGTTCTCACGGGCACACAGCCATGAGGAAATAACTGGATGTTCCCTCAGATAAGCTATCAGTGTTTATTTACGCAGATAACATTTCTCGTCAGTCCGTGGTCAAACAGCACAATTCCCTGTACTTACCAAAGAAAACCCGGGGCTTGTAGACTGACGCCTCTTGTTTCCTGTAATACCAGAAACTGCTGCTGCTGCTGCTGTCAGCATAATTGCGTCTTTTGCTTGTCACCGGCGCTGTGGTGAGACAGCTCTATGTCAGGTGTGTGAAGAGTTGCAGTGCCACGCTCCCTCTCGCCTCGTCAAATAACGTTTTAGCTTATGCGTCCGTGCAATTCCAGCAGAGCCTCCCCACAGAAAGGAATGCAGAGGTAAAAAGCACCTCAGAAATTCAGACAATGGCTCCTTTTTTCGTCTGAGTTTGCAGCTCAGGCTTCACTAGGACAGAAAAAGGTGGGCGCAGGTGTGGGTGCTCTTTTGCATCACGCTTCTATATTTAAAATAACAGAGCCACTCAGGGGCCACTTGATCCATTCCCCTAATTAGCAAATGACTAAATTCAGGCTGTTTTGACCAAGCAGTTGGCCAGGGTTTACTGTGTCCTGATAAAGAATACACGCCTTCTTAAAATGTATTTTGGGGGTTTCTGTGATGCACCACACAAAGTAAGGCAGAGTTTTGTGTGGTGTCCTGAATACCACAAAAGTAAGGCCTTCAAGATAAATATCATGAATGTGTAGGCGCTCAGCCCCCTTTCCTTCGAACCCTATAAATAAAATACAGTGCAGTCAATTGTATTCATAAGGCATATAATTAGCAAAAAGGAAAGTCTTAGTATAAATATAGCTCTTATTCTAGAGCTGTAGACTATTGGTTATTCTGGAGGAGTTGCAGAGACCCACAGCTCAAGTGCGAGAATCGGTTGGCAGAAAAACTATTAGAAGTGTGATTTGGCCTTTATAAAAGTGGCAGAACACAGAAAAAGTCATAATGGAAAAAAAATACAGTACAGTTACTGTAGAAGAGACAGGAGAAGTTGGAAGAATGTACTCTGGACAGACGAGACAAACACTGAGGTTTTTGGCCTGTGTGCAGAAAGCAATGCGGAGGGAAATGAACGCAGCACATCACCCGAAAATTTTAGTTTTGGTTATTTATTTTTTGTTTTTAGTAAAAAGGAAGCTGATCAGTTTTTATAGATGGAACTGAATGCAGGGAAAATCCCAAAAGTAAACAAATTAGAAGCTTCAAAAGACTCGAGGTTCATTTTACATCATTTCTACATCCAGAACTACCACGTAAAGGCTTAGTGGTGGTAGTATCATGCTGTGGGGACGCTCTTTTTTTTTTCTGCAAGAACATGAAAGCTGCTCAGAGCTGATGGGAAGAATAAAAGAACGAAACACATGGCAATCCTGGGAAAACAACAGAAGCTGCAAAAGACTTCATGCTAACCATCAACAGGCAGAGCTACAATCGCATGGTTTAAATCAAACCATATACTCATGTAAGAAAGGCCTAGTCAAAGTACGAAACTAATTGAAAGTCTGTGGTAGACATACACATTTACTAACAATCTGAGTGAGCTCTGAAGTGTTTTTCAAAGGACTTACACAGGACGGCCAAATACAAATGCACCTCACGTTTGATTACGGGTTTTTTTTTTGTTTTGTTTTTAAATATGTAATATTTTTCATCCACTTCACAAATATGTACTACTATGTGTCGGGCTATCAAAAAAAAAACTGAAGTTAGTGTTTTTAGCAAGAAAAATGTGATTTGAGTTCTTCTAATCATTGTAAGTCAAAGTGGTCAAATGTTCTAAAATATAAAAAGATTTCATTTGTTTTACCCTTTAATAATAACTTGCACATTTTTCTGTTTTCTTCCCACAGGTTCGCTCGCTCCCATATCAGCCTGATTCCAATGGAAATTGTCGCGATCTTACAAAAGAATACTTGCATGATGATATTAACTTGTGCTGCAAGAAATGCCCCCCTGGTAAGTACTTTACTTTTCACACAGAATACAATACAGATGCAATCTGTGAAGTTCCGACGTCTCACATAACTGTTAAAAAAGTTACGGTGTAACCGGCTGCGCGATGATGCACCTCTTGAAACCCAGCGGTGAAGGTTTGGGCGTGGAGGTGTGAGAGAAAATTTTAAAAACAAAAAAAGAAAGGCACCCACTGAATTTCAGAACAAGACCTGCTAAGCAAAAGTGCTAACTTGAAGTTTTAAGAACATCTGGTCAAATTTTCTAATTTTGCATAAAGCGTATGGTATAATATACCTGCCTAAAAGCACCACGTGCAATTTTGAAAAAAATCTAAACGCATAAAATGAAACAAAAATTTGTTTTTCAGACAGAAATATTTATTTAACTTTACAATTTTAAGCAAATCATTTCTGCAACAAGGAGCATTCGCTTTCTAATATTAAAATTCTATATTTAGTGTAAAGTGGTGCTAAAAATCCTGCATTGTGGTTTTAAAGTGGCACAGCGGTTATATGCATGATTGCTGATCGCTACCAACAAACTGAAAAGTTTCATATCATTATGAACAACTACCGCTCAGACGGAAACGACTTCATCACGTAGTTCATTACCTGAAAATCTGAATTAAAGTCCTGTTGAAAAAAGGAGTAATCTGGTTGTTGGAGTGAAATTTCTTCTCCTATGAAGTTGTTTTTTGAGTGAACTGTTTCTCTTGGTAATTTTTACCGCCAACCAGCAGATCCACATTTTTTGAATGGGTTCATTGCAATTAATGATGAGTCACAGAACCGAGTGTTCTCTGTTTATTGTAGTTTTTTTTCTCTCTATTCAAAAGAAACTAACATTCACAGCGATGATGATGATCTCACAGTTTCCACTTTTGTTGGTTTTGAGAGCATTCAGTTTCAGAGCTGGAAGCATGAAGACGAACAGTGGCTGTAAAATTACCATCGTTATTGGAAATGGGGAGCCGTTTCAACTAAATGCATCTTTATCACGAGGAAATGCAGAAAACCGATGCTAATTTCCAGGGGATTTTTGATTTCTTTCTTTTTTACAAATTCTTTTGCAACCCAGAAATGAATGGCTTGTGAACAGCACTGCCTTTGATCTCTCTGGGAAAGGGTTTTGTAGGTATGTAAATTAGATGTTCAACAAAGATTGTTCACAATTGAGCTATCTGAGATCACAGCTGCACACTTCACTTCCTTCCACACTTTCGATGGGGATTCCACACACTGAGAGTTTTATTTTTTCCTCTTTATTTTTGAATTTATTTGTTCTTTAGAGTATTCGCCTGAAGGAACAGCAGCAGAGTTTGTGTGAAGTTTATCTTTCCTAATGACAAATCGGTGGTGTTAGCAATGTGTTGGGTTGTGAGGAAGAGGAATGCAGTTTGACTTGGAGGCTTTTGCAACCGCTGCTCCTGTTCAAGCTCTAACTCGATCTGTTGTTTCTGTTTCTTTTAATCTTATCTCTGCACCTCAGCGTGAACCTCACATCCTGATTCATTGTTTAGTGAGTTCAACTAGCACTTAGCTTTTCCTGGACCGTTTTGGCTGATGTCTTATCATTTTGTTTTGGTGAATCAATACTCAGCCCACGTTCACATGACGAATGACTCACATTTTAAGCTTCTAATCACTGTGGTGATTTAAATCGCAGACATGTTTCACATGTGGGTACAATATTGTGACAAGAATCTTGAATGTTGCAACATTTATTTTCACGCAGCGTTGCAAATATTCTGCCTTGATTACTGGCGAGTCAGGCCGCTACAAAGACTCTCATTTGGCTCATCCCAATGGATTTCCATGGAGTAAAGTCCAGCTGAAGTAATTTTTAATCCACCTAATAAAACAAAGGTTGTAAAATAAAGGCAATTGATCCTTGATATAAAAAGTATTGATGGCCGGGATCTTTTCTCAAGATCTGTTCTCGAGAAAAGATCTCAAGAAGCAACAAAATCAAAATTCAAGAGCAGATGAGCAACATATTTATTGAAAGAGTCTAGAAACGGTCTTTGGGACTCAAGCAAAGCACAGTGAAAACCGTTAGTCACAAATAGAGAAAACGTGAAAAATTGTTGAAGCTTCTCAAAAATGGCGAGCCGACCAAAATTACTCCAAGATCGCACCAACAACTCATCCAGAAGGTCAGTAAAGGACCAAGAGCAACATGTCAAATACTTTAGGCTTTAAGGGAAAGAGACTCAGCAGTAGCGATTTATAGACCAAATCCACTGCTGACCAAAAGATCTTAAAGGATCGACTCACATCGACAAAAGACATCGAGATGATCCCCAAGAAAATGTTCTGTAGACAACGAGACAAAAGAAACATCTTCTGGAAGGTGTGTGTGGTGGAAGGGTGAAAGTTGCTTCACAACCTGGACGGCTTACAGTAACTGGCAAAACCAGTAAGTAGAAATGAAGTATGTACTTTTTTAGCAGCGGTAAAAAAAAAAAAACAATTCATGGAAAGGCAAACTTTTCCACTGTGGCTGAAAAAGTTCTCTAGCCAAAAGGAAACTGGTTGCTAGTCTTCAATCTTCTAAAAGTTCCCTAATGTAAGGATTTATTAGGTGACTGAGGACTTTAAAAACTGGTAAACATGGAGCCAATGCAGCACGGCAACAAAATGAAAAAATAACCTTGTTTACAAGTTCTAGAAAGAGATAATGAGCAGCATTTAATACAAGCTTCAAGAGATATAATGAATCAAAATCATAGGAGAATAAAAAAAGAGGAGAAAAGTCTGAGTTGAAACACACTTGGCTATATAAATGAGTTTAGTTTAAAATGACACAGATTTATCTTTTATTCAGGATTATAACTTTTAGTTTGCTTATTTAAGTTGCTCCCATCGTTCTTTTCTACAGGCATCCTCACAATCATAAAAAAAAGTAGAACAGTTTTGTTTTAAGATAGATTCAAGGAGCAGAACGTCGATTGAAAAAAGAGCAATCCCCAGTGCTGAACCCTGGGGAACTCCAGCAGTCGATGGCTGACTCTAAATCCAGGCTACAAACGAGGTCACGGCTGTCTTTTATTTAAAGTAATACTCCATTACTCTGAAATTGCTCCATCAAACATCCAAATATTTTGCGTCTTAGCAATGCTAAGCTATAATTTTCTCTTTTAACTCTGTTCATAGTTATTTCTAAAGTTTATTAATCTGTTCTAGTAACTAAAGTTATCTTTGTTTTTTGTGCTGTTAAGCCCATCTCTAACTTCTCTTTGATTATTGTTTTACAAAGTCAGACTCATTTCATGCTTTTTAATTATGTTTATACTTTGAAGACGGTGGCTTACACATAATTTTGAAGTGTTAAATGAATGGATTGGGAGATATTAGTCCCACTTTAGTGTGTTCGGTAACCTCATTTGTTTGCTTAAGCCCTGCTGCCCTCCATAACGGAGTTCATCTTTTCCACATCAGGATGTTTTCTGGCACCAACGCGGTTCTTGTTGCCACTATAAATCTGTTCATTGGAGCCAAATTCAGGCTCGACCCGTTGACTTTGTTCAATCAAGCCGAATTTCTTTCCTGTCTATGTTGTTTAATTGTCTGTCCAGTAACCAAATGAATGTTTTCACAGGGCAACGACTGAAGCAGGAGTGCTCTAGAAGCTCTGACACAGTGTGTGAACCATGTGGACCAGAGCAGTACATCGAGACCTGGAACTACACCCCAAACTGCTTGTCCTGCACCAAGTGCAAAGCCAGTCAGTAGATGTGTTGAGAATCTATGTTGCAATAATACATACTGATTCATTCATCCACTCCATAGTTTTACTTCCTACTGATGGTTTATGTTTACGCTCTCTCATGTTGAACCAGAAAACGGTCTTGAGAATAACCAGACCTGCACCCCAGCCAGAAACGCCAAGTGTGTTTGCAAACGTGGGACGTTCTGTGAGCTCGGGTTTGATAATCCGTACTGCACAAACTGTAGGTCGTATACAGTTTGCAAACCTGGATTTAGAGTTTCTGTGCCAGGTAAATGTAATCTCTTAAACAACAACATCTGTAGAAGTAGGTCATTATTTTTATTTTATGAGATGCACTGACCTTGTGAAATGTTTGCGTGTTCATATCAGGCACCCTGAACTCTAATGTGAAGTGTGAGAAATGCCCCACCAATCCCTGTCCGCCTCACACCACAGCACAAACGGTAACGACTACAGTTACTGTAAACGCCACGATGCCACGAGGCCCACAGCAGACGATGCAGCAGCCTGTCAGGCCTCTCCTAACCATGACACCCAAATACTCTAAAACAGAACAACCCATCAGCGAAATGGGTACAGGTTTCATAAGCTCACTGTAATGCCTGATCAGTGTTTCGGTTCTCCTGTTTCTCATGTCTGATCTTGACTTGCATCTGTGTCCCACTTTCTGCTTAGTTGCGGTCATTGCTGGTGCCTCTGGATTCCTTCTGTTTCTCATCGTCTTCCTCCTACTGATACTTTGCAAACGAAAGAAAACTAGAGGTAACATCACCCGTTCCAGTCTTGATAATATAGACTTTTAACCCACATTTCTGAATAGAAACGGTCACTATTATTTAATTCTTTAACTGAATTTGTTGTGGTCATAATCACACTTGAGCACAGGCGTCTCTGAATGTCCTTTCTCTCCTGTTTTCAAAGATTCTGGACTCTTATCACCTAAAGTAGATGCAAATGGAAACTGTGAGGCAGCAGAACAGGTGAGTTTTGTCTCTGTGCATTCCCAGCATGCCTTTCTTTCAATAAGCCAGGGGTCTGCGGCCTGCGACTCTTTGGACCTTCCACAACGGCTCTCAATAACTTTGTCTGAAGATGGTGAAAAGATAAATAATACTTTTAAATATAGATATAAAAATAAATGCAGCTTTTTGGCAATTTTACAGCTTTTTCTTTGAATAATTTAATTGAATTTCCACAACAGAATGACACTAAAAGTATCAATTCTTATATTATCTTGTCATTAAGTTGAAAACGTGTGCTTTTCTTTTCCAGTATCAACATCCCGTGCAAAAATTACATCCATCTCTTTTGTGTATTTTAAAACCGGTGAATAAAAATAAAATGGTGGTTCTTTAAAAATAATAAATGTCCTATAGTACAGGGGTCTGCAACCTCTACCATTCAAAGAGCCATTTTTGTCCCCAGTGCATAAATAAAACTCATTTACAGCCATAAATGTTACATTTTTAAAATGTTTGATATAAATCTGCAATAGGAAATTAGTTATTTTAAAGAACCACAATTTTATTTTTATTTTTGTAGGTTTTAAAATACAGAAAAACAAAACCTGTAAAAAAATAAATGGGATGTTAATATTGGCAAAATAAAAACACATTGTTTTCCTGACAAGATCATTAGATATAAGAATGTTGTTGATACTTTTAGTGTCATTCTGTTGCAAAAATTCAATTAAATTGTACAACGCTGCATTTGTTTTTATATCTATGTTTAAAAGTATTATTTGTTTAGGTTTTTTTCCCTCTTTGGACCGTTGTCGAAGGACAAAAGAGTTACTTTGTCATAAGGTCGTGTAACTTACGTGACCTTTTGATAAAAAGACTCTTATGACGACCGTAGGTGTTACATGATGTAAAACTTGTGGCTCTAAATGAGTTTTATTTAGCTGGACTGGAGGTAAAAATGGGTCTTTGAATGGTAAAGGTTGCAGACCCCTGCAATCTGTTGTGAGTCAATAATATTATTTTTCCGTCAAATGTATACAAAACGTTTGGTTCTTGTTAGTAATATTTCTGTTGTACAACATTTTTAAGTTATTTAAGCTACTGTAAAACAGTGATCTCTTATTTTATTTTAAATAAAATAAGAGATCACATATCTCTTGTAAGAGATAAATGATCTCTTATGTCTTATAAGAGATCACTTATCTCTTATAAGCTCCAGAGGAGCTCAAATTTTTCTATTTGAGCTCCTCTGGGAAGACGTTCCATATAATACTTTGCAAAATACTTTATATAAAGTATTTTGCTTCATATTTATCCTTTGACCTTCTTGAACTGTTTTTTGCAACTAACTCAAACTAAACAAGTTGAATAGAAATAATATAAGGATTGTTTTGAAGACTTGGTAACTTCCCTGCAGTTCTCTAACAGTGAGCTTTAGTGAGATCTGTTCACTGGTTTTAAGATCCTGCTGTCTGTGCGTGTTGGTGGTGACTAAACAGACTTACTTCCTCCTTCACCCTTGTGGTCAGTGGCTTACATAAATGAGACTATGTGTCACATAATATTTATAACCAAGGGAATTAAGACTCATTGTTTCATAATTAAATGTTTCCTAGACAATCTGATGAACTTAATGTTTTCATTGCTTAAGAATTCAACATGTTTTTTTCTTTCCACCACTGAGTAAATGATTGAATTGGACAGGTTTAATTATTCAAGTGTGAGGTTATATTACAGTAAAAGTAAGACTTTTTAGACATGTTTATCATAAGAGAAAAGATGTGAAAGAAGAAGAATTGTTTTTTGCTCAAACTGTAGCAGATGGAAAAGCTAGACTTCATACTTGTCTTTAATCAAACTTAAAAATCAAATTAGCCTCAAGTTAGCTGCGTGCGTCATGCTTGTGACGATATAAAAACACTGACTCGTGATTTGTTTCCTCACCAGAACGGCCACAGCAACTTCGGAGATTCTCAGATGATTTTATTCAAACATACCTCGCCGGAGCAAATGTGTCTGCTGGAGAAAGGGGAAGTCGCCAGTGACCAAAGTGTGAGCAGCAGCGATACCGAAAATTCAACCAGGGCGGATGGTTTCAGCAGCCATGAGTCCCTCAGGCCTCTACAACCAACTTTAGGTCTCGACAATCCAGCGTCTCTCCTGTCGGAGCCCCTGACCTTACAGTCTGTCACGGACCCCGTCGCTCCTCAGCGCAGCATCAGCACACAGAGCTCCTCTCAGCCCACCAGCCCGCAGATCGTCAGCCCCGTGACGAACAGTCCCCACGTCAACGTCAACATCACTCTGCATATAGGAAACGGTTCCTGTGGGACGCCATCTTTTCAGCCGACAGACGTTAACCAAGCGGAGCATCAACTTCCCTTTGGACAGGAAGAGGAGTCCGTCAGCTCTCCTCAGCAAGAGGCAGGCAAACTGTCGTTTATGTCGGTCGAGGAGAGTCCCAGCTATTGCACATGAGAACTCCTGTGCCTTCTGAACATTTTTTTAACATTACTGTAAAATGCTTTGACTGAAAGAATGTGCAGCAAAAACCCAGTGCTTTGTTTTGCCTTCAGCTATTACTTTATGGGTATGTGTATATATTGTGTGTTGTTGTACATAAATGTTCTAAATATATATTTATTTAACATTTTTTTACATACATTTCTGATTTGTACAGTGGACATAAAATAAAAGGGCTTTCAAGTGAGCATTCAGAGTTCTCATGTATTTCTCGCCTAGCATATTTGGAGTTTATTTACATTTTGTTTATGACCCAGCATAAAAGAATGAAACCAGAATGAAGAGTTTGTGATGAAACATGGTTGAAATCTCTCTAGCCCTTTATATTTTTCAGTATTTTAGGCTAGAAAACAGGGCAAAAAAAATGACATTTGCGCTGATTCTCACTTTATCCCTTGTGAAACTCAGCATTAAGATTGCCAAGTTAATGTTGAGATTTACAGTAATTTGAAAATACATCCAATTTCACTGAACTTCAACTTCAGTTATGCAAAGTAGCAATACTTTCCAGTCTCTACATGTGCAAATGCTAGTTGAAACATACACAAAAATCATCTAAAAATACATATAACATTTGTTATACAAAAACATTTGTGTTGGTTTTATCATATTTAATCACAATAAAATATATTGAAGTTTGTGGTTGTAACATGAAGCAATGTGAAAAATTGCAAAGGGTATGAATAATTTTGCCAAGTGCAATACTTTGAATACATGTTTACACATATAATACATGTAAAGAATGTTTGAATATCATCACACTTAAATTCAACAATTTTAGAACAACTATATTTCAAACTGTATATTTTTCAATAGCATATTTTGTGAAAAATTTTAAAATATTTGAATTTAATATGATATTCTTCTTTCCTTAAAACCTGAATTATCTTCAGCTATGTGTCTCAAAGTGTCCCATAATTAAAGGTATTATAAAAACTGTTTAATAATTGCAAATTGAAATCGATTAAATAAATTAATGTAGCTGTAATTATTTGTTTAGATATTAAAATAGCTAAAATAATAGTACATATGTTTAGTTTGCACTTGAAGTGCTGTGCCAATCAAGTGTTGCAATTTTGATCAAAATTAGTTCATGAAAGCATAGTTATATAGAAAATATTTATAATCTTTATAAATAACATACTTTTTTTTACTTAATTATTAATTTGGGTATTTATTTATATAAATTTTATTTTTTCGAAATTGTTAAATGTATTTATTACAGTTTCCTCTAAAAATGCTTCATACCGACGCTAATCTTTGCCAGCCATATTTAAAGCGTCTCAACTGAATTGACTGTGATTTCTACGGACACTGCTGACACCTGCTGGTGGAAGTCGAGCGCTGCAGCCACTGACCAAGTATTCCTCATTCGATTCAAGAAAACGCTTTTACGGAGCTGTGACAGTATCTTTGTTTTTATCGACTAAAATGTAATTCAGACCATTTAATGAACTGTTTCGGTTTTAATTTATGTGTTGTGATGTTTCTTCTCATAAAGGTAAACTGCTAACAGCGGGTGAACAAGAGAAAGGAAGTGTGGGTCACTTCATTTTAGAAATTGGGGGTCAACGGTTAAATTTTAACCGCTCTATCAAAGAGTTTAAATGATTTTGATTCCTTTAAAATGACACTGGTCATCTGAATACCTCGGCTTGTTTTACTGTAGCTTGAATGACGTTAATAATGGAAACATAATAATGTTTAATCCCCTGTGAACACCCCTCCTTGTGTGAGGCAGTTGGTTTCGTCTGTTGCCGATGTGTGTCGGTGTTCTTCCTGAAAAGACACTCGCATTGAAGCCGCTGATGTCGCCGCAGAGAGGTCGCTAGGTTAAGGTTCGTTTCCTCCGCTTTTATTCATTTTTGTTGTGGAAAATGTCACATTGAGATAAGTTCCCACCGTTTATGTTTAAGTTATATTATTTACCGTTAATGAGCAGGGTAAGTTAATTAATGTTTCGCCTTTTATTGTGTCATTCATCCCCCTTTTTTTGCTTTTTTTTTTTTTTTTTTTTTGCCTTGTCTGTTGTGTTTACAAATCCAGCTAGGTGTCGAGTCAAGCTAGTTAAATAAAGCATGTGCCACGACTTTACAGCATGTGTCAAACTCGGTGTAGTTTTTAAATGCTGGTCAGAATGAAAGAGCCTGCTCCCGGCTGTTTAAAACTCTCCTGATTTGGGGGAAAATAAAAGGAAAGCTCCTTAACACCGGGGAAGGAGGTCGACAGCAACAGAGGACAGGGCTGCAGGTGTTTGCCTGTTGGTCGCCTGGCAGGCTGTTTGTTGAGGCTAGAGATAAAAAAGAAGTGGGGAAATACCCGAATCTGGAAAGTGTTTTAGCAAAATGAAAAGGCTTTTCCTTGGAAGCTTCGACATTTCCAGGTGTTGACGCAGGTAAAGGGGGAAGCTGCCAAAGTGAAACCAACTGCCGGTTTATGTTATAAGCGCTGGCTAGATGGTATCCACCTGGATAATGTGCATTGTTGGGCTATAAATAATGCTGCAACATTTACAGAAACAGTTGTCAGTCAGAAAAGACCAATAGCTTCGTTAAACTATTGGTGTATTTGTATTCAGCTCCTTTTATTATGGCAGCCCTAGATAAATTCAACCAGCTGCCTCCGCTAATCAGCTGGTTGATAGGAGTCAACCTGCATGGATAAACATCTGTTTTCCAATCAGTTAAGTTAATTTGTACAGCAAAAACTCAAACAAAATAAACATCTTCTAGTGAATAGTTGTGAAAACCAATAACGGATATTTTTGTCAAGAGCTATCGTCAACAAAAGTTTAATATGTTGGTCAGTGTTCATGTATTATGGTTTAAAAGCAACTCTTAAAAAAAAAAGGAAAGAAAACATTACTAAACAAGCAGCAACATAAGTCATTCTCTGCTCTGACTTTATATGAAGGAAGCTTGATAAAATACTAAACAATCCTGGAAAAAATCCATTTCAAGGCTGCAGGGGACTTTAACATAGGGTGAATGCTCACAAGCCAGCAGGATAGTGACTTAAAACACACATGCACAACTATGGTAACATCAATACTTTGATTATATCCGTGTGTTAGACTGGTCTAGTCAAAGTCTGTGACGAGGCTTGAAAATTGATGTTCACAGATGCTCTCCAATATGGCTGAGCTTGAGATATTTTGCAAAGAAAATTGGACAAAATGCTTAACATGGGCTGATGGGTTTATATATATATATATAAATATATATATATATATATATAAACCCATCAGCCCATGTTATATATATATATATATATATATATATATATATAAACCCATCAGCCCATGTTATATATCTATCTATCTATATATATATATATATATATTCTTTCAAAAATGTGAAATTGAATATATTAATTTATTGACTCAGGAGAATAAACAGAATCACATGCTGCAATTCTCTGTAAAATATTGTTAAAACCATGAATGTTTTTACTTTCATAAATCATGTCAACACTGCACATTGTCTGTGGTTGTGATATTAAAAAGTTCAAAGGTTAGGAATACTATCAAGCATCATATCAAGAAGGAAAGTCAGATATTGACTCTGAGAAGCTGTAAGATTTTTATTTTTTCTTTTATAGTTAATGTTAGACTAATTGCTGTTGGTTCTACTCATACTTGATGTTTAATGAGTTCTTACCAAAGTCCATTTAGTTAATGTGTTACTACTAAATATTACTTACTGTTTTTGAAAACAAGACCAATCTGGCCTCAGATTAAAGATTTGATGCATCATTTTCTCTTTTCCTCTTTCTCCAGTAGATCTTCTCAGTCTGCTCTCGCTTGTCCGTGAACCATCCGCTCTCAGATTAAACCCAGGGTTCTTCGCTTCAGAACTTCGTCCTTTTAGATGCCGCTCAGCCTTCTCAAATGGCTTGCTGTCTGAAGGACGAGCTCCTCTGTTCCATCTGCCTCAGCATCTACCAGGACCCCGTCAGCTTCGGCTGCGAGCATTACTTCTGCAGGAAGTGCATCACCGAGCACTGGAGCAGGCAGGAGCCGCACGGGACGCGGGACTGCCCCGAGTGCCGCCGGACCTTCGCCGATCCGCTGCTGTCTCCAAGCCTCAAGCTGTCCAACATTGTGGAGCGCTACTCGGCCTTCCCGCTCGACGCCATCCTGAACGCGCAGAGGAGCTCCTACCCCTGCAAGGACCACGAGAAGGTCAAGCTCTTCTGCCTGACGGACAAAAGCCTGGTGTGCTTCTTCTGTGACGAGCCGGCGCTTCACGAGCAGCACCAGGTGACCACCATCGACGAGGCGTACGAGGAGATTCAGGTCAGCGGGCGCAAACACACTTCAGCTGCTTATTTATAGTGACAACTTTGTTTTGTTTTCAAGTAGGGCTGAAATAACTATTCTGATTATTGAGGTAATCACAAACTAATTTAGCAATCGATTGGCGTATAAAGGCTCAATAAAAGACATTTAGCTGAAAGAACAAGTAGTCAGAGGAGTAATTAAGCCAAAAGTGGAACAAATAAATGTATAAATTCTGCATTTAAGATGTAAAAAGTACATTGTCTATAAATATGTTTAATTCAAAACTCCTCAAGAGGCATAGTTTTAGCTTCACCTAGTTCAAATTTAAAAAAATAACCAACACTTTAGCCCCACACTTTATTGATAAGTGAGCAGATAGGGCTCAGCTTTTCACATGTTGATGATAAAAGTACGATAATGGGGAAGCACTTCTGGTAATCCTCTTGAATCACGAGTATAGAGGATGCAGAATGTTTTTTTTTTTGTTTTTGTTTTTTTTACTGTTTGAATATTTTCTGGTTTCAATTTCAGACATCTCCAAACTTAAACTCTAAAGTTTTCGCTTCGTCTTGGTTTCAAGTTACGCAACAGGAGTTGGTATTTTACTTTGCAAACTGATTTTAAATTCTGTTGGGGGGGAAAAAAAATCTATGTTGAAAATCTGTCTTTTGTTTTGCGTAGATTTCAAATAAAATCGGCTAACCTTAGCATAAATATTAATCATATTTAATGATTATATCAGATCACTTAAATTAATCCTTGACTTTGGCATTTGGCATCCGTGAAGTTACAAAATGTAAACAATCTTATCCAAGTTAATTTTTAAGGGATTTAAGGTGGTAAATACTGTGGGGAGAAAATAAAGAGGAGCTTTAATTTAAACAAACATTGAGTTGTAATCCTTTGCTTTGCTTTGCTCTAATAGCAAGTATTAATAGACTGGTATGAAATTCTCACTACATGCTAACTTTCAGAGAAATAATCCACAGAAATACAACAAATACTCAATTAATTTCTTTTATTCAAGTCCTAGAGGCAATAATTATTCATACTGCAGTATGAAAAAATACGGATTGCTACAATTTGAGGGTTATAGTGATTTTTATTTTATTTTAATACATTAGAAAAATTCAGAATAAACAGTCAGTAAATCTTAATACACTCCTAAAGTAAAGCTGCTTCATTCTTATAATATTGTTTTTTATTTTGCTTTTTAAAGAGCAATTCATGTAGAAGAAGCTGATAAAAGCAGGTTAATTAGTCAGGCAATCTGCTTCTGAGTGACTAAGATTTTACCAAACTGGAAATATTTCTAATGTATTACTTTTATTTCTTGATTAATTTCTTGTAATCGAGGGGAAACATCATTTTTCATTCAGCATTACTCATTGCTGCATACAGATGCAAATAAAATCTTTTAAAAATGATTTTAAAGTGAAACAGTGTATTAAGAAACCAATATTTTCATTAACTGTACAAATACAAAAAAAAACAATTCTGCTGGGAAATGTGTTTTAGTCATAGTACATCTGAATAATACATAAATCCAATGAGGAAATATACCAAGAATATACAATATCGTGGTCATTGTTGCACATCAGCGCTTTTCCTCCCCCTCCTTCATTTCCTGCCGGGTCCGCGCTCCAGTCGTGTTTAAAAATTAAAAGAAATTTGGTTTGTTTCAGTTCAGAGATCTTGACTCAACACCACATTAAATTTGAATGTGCTGGCAGATTTAAAGTGTTTGTGAAGTAAAAGGAGTGAAAAGCAATGGCTCCTCAATGATTCATTCTCTTCACATCCAGGATCATTGACGGTAGCTGGCAGCGGCTGTGAGGATATGAAGCTCCTCTAAAAAGCTCAAATGTGTTGTATGTTTGCATGCTGGGTCGAGTTTTTTTTTTTTTTCCACATATGCAAGAATGGTTCTGTTTTTTCTTTTTCTTTTTCTTTCCCCTCTGTATTTGAATAATTCCTGTCCTGCTGAGCCAAAATCCAATAACTGTGAAACAAAGCTCCTAATCCGGTTCCTAAGGAGTCTTAATAATCATAAAAACCACAGCCAGCCCCCCCCCCCCCACCTCAGTGCTTCCAAATTTTCATGCGTCACGTTACCTATGGAGCAGAAGTTTACATACACTCGTCATGGGTGTGACTCTCGGGTACATTAGGGTTTGTCTTTTGTGTTTTTATTCATTTTTTCCTGGATGAAATGAGACCGCTTCAGTGATTTTTGAAGACGACTTTCTCCTATTCACATTGAATTAAAAATGAGAACGGGCTCAAATGTGAACGTCAGCCTTTCTAATGTTTGGTTGAGCTTCCTGTACCAAGTTGTACTTGTAACACAGCCAGTATTTATCATTGAACTCAAGGTTCTGGTATAATTCAGTCCACTCCTCTAGTCAGAATCGGAAAAGTTGGACTTCATTAAATTCGTCCGTTTCAGGGGACGGACCCGGCTTTTCAGCATATTCCAGGAATTTTAAATGGGATTTAGTTCGGGGCTTTAGTAAGACTATTCCAGGAGCCTGATATGTCCTGATTTATCCGTTACAAAACCCATTTAGATTTGTTTCCTATTGTTCTATTGGAACACCAAATTGTGTCCCATGTTCAACCATGTAACCAAACTGTAGGCTTTGGATTAAAGGAAACTGTTAAAATGGAGAAAAAGCTGGATGTACTCGGCCATGACACCCTGCAGTACATTTGGAGTTGAAAAACCTCAGAGCACAATGTCAAATAGTGATGAGCATTTATCGTGAAAGAAGTCTTGTATCATGAAAGATTTCTTATAAGAATTGATTATTGTGTCCAGAAGAGTTTCAATATGTTCAGAAATATAACTAAATACAGATATGCAACTTCGCAATAAAAATCACGTTTCTTTATGCAACTGTTGTCCTGATGTGCCCAGTTTTTTTTTCTCTTTGTTTGTGAGGCTGTGATTGTTGTAACATGCAGTCAAAGTCTGCAAAAATATTGCAGATATCTTTTTATATCAGTTTTATTATTAGAATAAATATCACAAATAATGTAGCGAAAAGATTTAAAGTCCGTATCGCCTACCCTTAATATGAATTACAAGGCATGTTGCTTTGAGCACAAGGTGAAGGGAATAACTGACCAAGAGAAATAAATGCCTCTAAATTATTAGATTTCTTAAAATTGGGACAAACCTTTTTGAGTTTGGACACTTAAATCTTCCAGCAGGACATTGATCTCAAAGATGCACCAAATCTGTTTTGATGAATGCACCAACATCAGTATTGGCCACTGTTAACCCATTATCAGTCTAATAAATAAAACTGTGCAACCAATATTTAACATCCGATACTTGCTCCCATCTTGTTGCCATTTGTTTCTGGAAGTCATTTGAGAGACTCATAATATCAGTTATTGGCAATAATGGCACTATGGCCGTTTTTCATACCGGTGCATCCCTACTGGATATCATTTCAGCTCCCTCTGAAATTTGGGGATTATGATTAAAAGCCAAATCAGGGCTAAGAAACCAACCAGTTTCAATGAACTTTATAAATGGTCAACCATCAGCTAGGATTATTCCATGTCTGTCTTAATGGCAGTATTTGGTTTAAATGATCATTAGTCTGGATTTATATGCAAATTTCTCAGTCTTTCTGTATATTTTGACTCTTTGTAGAGTGTAGAAATCTCATTAAATGTAATTGGGCCAGGCGGATCCAACTCACATGGTCAACGTTGTTGCTTCATCGGAGCTCAGACTGCATCTCTGAGATTGCTGCAGCCTTTGACTATTCATGGTGCAGACTCATCTAAAAATACATCCTCGACATGGAGAGGTTCGTTCTGCTCTGGCGCTCCGAATCAGAGATCAGGCTGTGACTGAATTATGAACTCTGTCCGATGGGGGAACTGAGTTGCTGAATAATAGTCGTCATGTCATTTGGAGGTCTACCAGGCTCAGAGAGGGCTGTCGAGGGGGGATTACGTTTCCCAGCTGGCCTGGGATCACCCACGAGGAACAGTGGAGGTTGGAGGCCTGGTTGTCTCTGCGTGGTTCCTGGGAACCGGTGAATTGGAGCATTGGTGTGGTGGATTCACTGATCCGAAAGGTTTTGGAAATAACCAATGAAGCTGAAAATCATCCGACTTCCATCGTCAGCCAATTTATTTGTCTCTAGTAGTTTGTATTTGTATTTTACACAAATCCAATCTCATGAAGTGTTTTTTTTTTATATCGGTTTGTCACCTTGCTAAAATAAAGGCCCAAGTCACTTATTTGCCAACAGGGATTTTTTTTAATTGCATAAATCATCTTTTGGCAAAAAAAAAAAAGAGGTCATGATTTTTAATGGGATTTTTTCAAGGTCACTGTTTTTGGAAAGTGAGGAGTTATTGAGGTCCTTTTAAGCTTTTTCAAAGTTATTTTTTGACTACCTTTATACCCATTAATGGAACAGATGACTAAAGTGGTAGAGGAAGGATTCTTAAATGCAACTTTCAGCATAGGAAACCTAAAAGTTACTGTCTTTAAGTAGTACAAAAAAAAATCCATGTCAGACTTAAAGCAGCTCAAACTCTTCTTGAATCAATTACCCTAAAACAAAAAAAACAAAAAAATAAGATTTCTGGATTTTCCAACCCAACTCTTTTCATTTTCATTTTCACTTAAATTATAACCCACATTTCCCTTCGACACAAGATGCAATATTTTTGCTCAGTGACCTAAGTGGAAAACCAGTGGACTCACAAACCAGAGCCACGAAAACTCTCTTATGTCAAGTCATATTTAACTAAGATTTAGCTTCAAGGTTAAATATAGTTTGGCAGTTAATCAGCAACTTTACAGTCCTAAGTCTTAATTTAATTTGCTGAAACTTTCAGAAATGTTTCTAGAAATTGTTGGTATGGAATAATTTGTAACTTTTATTACCTTAATAGAGTAGCCCCAATTCATGTTGGCTAGGGGAACAAAGCACTTGCTTGTAATTTAGGACTGGACAATAAATCCATAATGGTATATATAT